ATATATACACAAACATCCAAATAGAAACATGCATATGCATACAGAGTTCGAGAAAAATACCTACTAAATAAAGCCAGGACTTTGGTTGCTGATGGAATCCACCAGGTACATTTCACCATAGGAGGAAACTCTTCAGGTTTTGCAGGAAACAGGCGTAAAGAAATGAATTGCAGTAACCTGTCCACCACCTGCTTGAACCTCCTCTGTGAGATCCTGAAACAAACATGCTGCACTTACTCTCATGTGATCACTGTCCACACTAGATTTCAATGTTATTTTTAAAAAAACATGCTTTTGTCCTATACATATAATCAAAATTCCAAATAAAGTTTGAAGCATGCTTTTAAATATTGATCCATGGCAATTCTCGTCAGTGCAGCCCTAACTATGCTCTCTAATGTCTGTGAAAAAAACAGCAATAGAATCATTACCTGTTCTTGAGTTTTAGCAAACAAAAAGAAAACCGAAATCCTTATCTATTTCACCCCACACTCTGAATACTGGGGAATTCTGGTTTTTTTAACTTGGAGGTACTCGTTCCTATTGAATAAAGAGTGGAACGTGCTTCATGTGCTCATGACAATCAAATTATGTACTGCACCACTTCCAGAGCAGCACAACAATACATACAGAGGTGTAGGCATGGTAAAGTATCATTTTCTAAATAAGGGTTCTTCTATTTTAATGTTATCCATTTCATGGAAAATATTTAAAACATCTTAAAACATTTCACGTTTTAAGTCTAAAAACATTGATATGTCTATTGCATCCTTAACCAAGAATGTAAACCTTATTTGTAAACACCAACTCAAATTAAATCATATATTACCACAATTTGAAGCAAATCTAGACATATTAAAGGATGAGGGGAGGGAGATTGAATTTCCATCTTTGCAGAGAAGAAAATCCTTTACTAACATATTCCCTAGGAGATAAGGGAACTGTGAATAAGGCCAGACTTGTTTTTTTACCCCAGACTAAACTTTATGCACAGTCAGTACAAGGAAAGTAATCTGCACACCAAGTTGGAAGCTGCTCTCTGGGCATTACCTCCATATCACTTCATTAGTGAGGTGCAACTAGTTATCCCAATTAACTACAAATCAAACACCCTAATCACACTCTCTCACCACCTCTGTTACACTCAGCAGCAAGGACTCTAGTCTGCTTGTGATTTTCATACAATACAGTAACATTATAGTATCTTTTGCAAATTATGCAAGACAAAACTTTATTTAAACAAAGTTCAGGAAGATATTTGCTTTAATAGTACTGTAAAAACATGTAACTAAAAATTTACACACAAGTTCTTTTGCATGTATTATGGAAAAATAACTTTGATAAGTTCTTTTCCAATTAAGGCTTTTTTTGCATAACGATATTAATTTTGATACATTATATACAGTTTGCATCTATAAATCAGTTTCACTTAGTGAACTATGTACTTTGAAAACAGCAAAACCAAATCTCTTTAGTCAATTCCATTAACTTTCATATAATTTATAAAACAGTCAACATCTAAGGAAATACAGTAAAAATTGTCATCTTAAAAATGGAATTTTTAATTTTATTTTTTATTTCTTTTACTTTTTAGACCAGTGTGTTAGGAAATGATGGTCAGCTTCTGTTAAGGCTGCGATCTGTCTTAGCAAGTGAGCATAGATGACATAAGTAGAAGTGTTACTAAATTGAGGATTCTGGAAAAGAGTAAAAAAGAAAAAATGCGTTAGGTTAATAAACTACATAAAGGAAAAAAAGTCATTAGGCTTTTTTCTTATGTTTGTTGTTGCCAATACAATTCAATTAAGCAGGAAAGGAATTCACAAAATAGCTGTGAGTGGTAAAACTATGCAAAAAAATGACTTGCAACTTCTAGCCAACTGAAAAATAAGTAACTACATAAAGTATGTTTTTTTCTGGTGTTTGTTTCAAAGGAGAGCCCACAGGTAGTAAAGGCAGTACTCAATATCTTTTTCTGGATTATCCTTTACACTGTAGCACATGTTACACTCTCAGTGATGTGCTCTCCACCTCAGTAATACGGATTCTTATAGCTCCCGTCTACCTGCAAGTCAATCCAAACTTATTTTCCCTCTTATCTACAAGTTCACACATTCCAACGTTTCAGTGGGAGATATTCCTCATAATTCACAGCTTGTATACCACTCTAGAGAAGAAAACTATTGTCTCAAAAAATTAAATTACCATCTGATGTCCTCAAATAACAGCAGAAACTGCTCCTTGTGTGGAAAGGTGTTATCTACACTGGCAACATTTAAATCTGCTGCAAATGCAAATCAGCTATAGTGGCAAAGGTGATAGGTGAACACAGAAATCAGAAAATGTAGCCAGTCAGACAGACCGGAGAAAGTCTGCTGATAAAATGCCATGCTGGAGAAAGCAATACCAGAACATGCATATACTTTCATTTGTATTACAGCAATATCACAAAGCAAATCTGGGAATAAGGATAAAATAAGAAAAAATAACCTGGTAAAACACTTGTTCTTTCAATCCACAAAATAATAGGAAACAATTACTTGCCAAACATTTAGTTCATAGTTTTAATCTATGCAACCTTGCCCCAT